CGAGTTCCAGTCGGGGGTTCATTTGGCTCCCCAAATTGAATTTTCTTCAACCAAGCTGCTTACCTATTGCAGATTCAGTCTTCCCAGCCTGGTGCAGGTCTACAATTTTGTTTCTGGTGTCCTTCGACAGCTCTTTGGTCTTGGCCATAGTGGAGTTTGGAGTGTGACTGTTTGAGGTTGTGAACAGGTGTCTTTTATACTGATAACAAGTTCAAACAGGTGCCATTAATACAGGTAACGAGTGGAGGACAGAGGAGCCTCTTAAATAAGAAGTTACAGGTCTGTGAGAGCCAGAAATCTTGCTTGTTTGTAGGTGACCAAATACTTATTTTCCACCATAATTTGCAAATAAATTCATTAAAAATCCTACAATGTGATTTTCTGTAATTCTTTTTCTCAATATGTCTGTCATAGTTGACGTGTACCTATGATGAAAATTACAGGCCTCTCTCATCTTTTTAAGTGGGAGAACTTGCACAATTGGTGGCTGACTAAATACTTTTTTCCCCACTGTACCATACTATGAAGAAAAAAACATTATGCACTCACTAACTGTACGTCGCTCTGAATAAGAGTGTCTGCTAAATGACTAAAATGTAAAAATGTAAAATGGAGTGTCTCGGATTTACATACAGAATAATACAGAAGACAGTGGACTCCTGTGCTAATTAGCTATCTGCATCTCCCAACACATTTGTGTTAATGGAAGACGGACGCCACAAACTTGAGTTGTCACTCAAAAATACTATCTGCTGCAACTGTGTTAAAAACCAGTTAAAACAGTGTACAGTATTTTCATTTGTGAAATTATTTTTGATGTGATATGAAAGTAGAGGGATTTATGTTTCTAGAACCGCAATTGAGAATCGATTCACGTTTAGATGGAGTATTTGGCTATTTTGGCTTCCAGAGCCAATTGGCCTTTAAACAGAACATGTAAGGTCCTTGGACTCTAAGGAGTAAAGTTAGGCTCCGTTAGTCCATTAAGTCTGACCACAAGGTGTGTGGATGTGAATGATGCATAGCTGTAGGCTGTTGTATTCATTTGTCCTCTTGCCTTTAGCGAATGCCTCTGCTGTCCCCCTGGCCCAACTACCCTCTCAATGTGGCTACTCTGTCGAGTCGACATGGCGAGACCTGATGTTTGTGGTACCTTATGATGCCTGTCACATCAAGCGAGAAGAGGTAAAGTAGCACAACCTCTCTACCCTGCTAAAAAGTAACTCGATGGCCATAGTCACACTCCATTCTCCGAACTTGTCAGACTGGCAGGTTAAAACTGTTCTGTGACTGTCATTCTGTCAACATAAAAGCTTTTTCTATTGTTCATCACACACCATTATTCACTCCTTTCCTGTGGCCTGCGGTGCTGCTGACAGGATGGTAGTTATGTGTTGCCTCTGATCTGGAGAGGGACCCCTGTGAAGATGTCCTGCCCAGTGTCCCAGGCTCAGGCCCTGGCCCCCTCCTCCCTCTGCTGCTCGTCTCAGGGAATGACTGTCAGATTGCAAGGACATGGAGCCAAAGAGGAGCTCAGAGTCAAGGGTAAGTGTGGAGTTATATTGTATAATGTATCACAATTGTACATAGCCTGCACGCTATGGCTGCTGAACAGACAGATTTAGAGGCATAATTTGGACTGAATCCAATGTTTCTGTAACTATATTTCTGCTGCTATCATGAGTTTGCGGGGATACTGTCAGGTCTTATGTGAGATGTGTTGGTTTCCCCCTGCAGTGAGAGGTGAATGGACGCCACTGCTTTCGCTGGCCCTGCAGTGTGGCTACAGTATGGACAGGCAACAGCTGCTTATATCTGCACCCTTCACTGCCTGTGGGATCACATCAAAGGTGAGCCATGGCACTCATATTGCACTATGACATGGGATGGAAATTATGACTCAGGGCTACTTGACTGTGCTTTTTGCTTTTACATGGAATTTGCTGAACCAATTTCTTTGCTTAATAATGTTGCATTTTACACTGAGTGAACAAAACATTAGGAACACCCGCTCTTTCCATTAGACTGACCAGGTGAATCCAGGTGACAGCTATGATCCCTTATTGATTCACTTCAATCAGTGTAGATAAAGGGGAGGAGATGGGTGAAATATAGATTTTTAAGCCTTGAGACAATTGAGACATGGATTGTGTATGTGTGCCATTCAGAGGGTTGAATGGGCAAGACAAAAGATTGAAGTGCCTTTGAACGGGGTATGGTAGTAGGTGCCAGGCGCACCGGTTTGTGTCAAGAACTGCAACACTGCTGGGTTTTTCACGCTCATGTTTCCCGTGTGTATACAGACCCTGGTTTCAAGGCAGATACACACACACCCTGTGGCTTGTCCCACCATGACTGTGACGGCTTCTTAGGTTGCTGCTCTTACCTTGTGAATGGTTAGTCTCTCGATCTCAAACTACTGGTCTTGGTGTTGCTATGGAGAGGCCATAACAGTTGGCTTTTTTGGTGTTTCGCCGACATCAAAACACTTCCCAGGGGAATGTCTGAGATAGGAGGAATGGAAATGGTCTTCCAGCGTGTCCAAGGCCATGGGTACATGCTTGGTATTTTGGGAATGTCAGTTTTCGAACTGCTTTACTACTCTTTAATTTCCACAATGTGCTGATTGTGTCTTAGGTCCTCAGGGTGTGTGTGTGTCAACCCTCAGAGTGTACATCGGGGCGTCAATTTGTCTTGGCGGTCCCTGGCTCTCTGGTGGACCCCATGGTCATCCCTCCCCCTCTGCCTGCGGACAGTCACGTGTCCTGCACCCCCCACAGGATGACCTCTGACCTGTACAGTGTGCCCCTGGATGGCTGTGGAGTGCACAGATACGTAAGTTACTGTAGACTTGCTACTCCACCTCCTTATAAAACTGTTCAACTTATTATCTGTTGTTAGAAATTGCGTAATTCAAATCTGGTATTGGAATAAGAGAAAACATAATCAAGAGATATTCAATCCAAGCTAAATTTATTATATGCAAAATGTATGTATGATAAGTATGAAGGTTCGTATACGGGCTCACTGAAAAACCACGCAGGGCAGACAGAGAACTAAACCATTGTTTACAGGTACTTTCTCAAATACTCTGACAGAGAGTTCCCACCTCTTCTGTTGGCCAATCAGAGTAAAGGACTGAGTGTGGTTTAGACTTTACTCAGCCAATCCGTTGGCGCACGGGTTAGTCCCAACCCCTTGGCGCTCCACCCCTTGGCGCTCCACCGTTCCCAGGCATAAGTTGCTATCATAATAACCTGTAGAGTCAGCACTTTTTTTTTGCAGTACCCATGTCCTTGGAAGGTTCACAGATCACAAAGAAGCAGTGTTCGTATCTGTGAGAAATACAAGTCTTATCTATCCTTCCCCTAACGTTCCTTACATGAATCACAGCCTGTTATGTGAAACAATTTATATCAGTATAGTACAAACCTATGCTCCTCATTAATGCATTCCTTCTAAGTTATTCATCACATACAGATCCAATTATGAGAAAAATAGAACCCAACAATCCCCCTTTTGACACCCTCCAGGGTGTCACTCATTAAAATACAATACAAACAAAAATAATCACACTTTTATTAAGAGGCCATAATGATACTAAAAAATAAAAACCCTCAGTCCTTCCATCTACACCCAACTTGCAAACGGTTGGCTACAAGTCACCCAGGCACTTCAAACCTTCACATAAGGAAAGACAAACATTCCCAATGGTTAACTTGATTAATAAAGCATAAAACACAAGATTATTAAAACTCTAGGGTGTGATTAAATATTTTTAAAGGGACATTTTAGAATTCCCTCTTTTGACACCATTTATGGTGTCACTCTAAACAGAGTATAATCACCCTTAAGAATAACAGGATATGGAAATTAAAGCACAACATTTAATGTTAATAAAAAATAAAAATAAAAATAATTTTAACCCTCTATTCCTCCCCTACACCTAACATGTACTGAGTTGGCTACCAGCCACCCAGGAATCCTTTACCTTCACATCAGGAGGAATAAACAATCACAGTGGTTAGTAAAAACATAAGGTAATAAATGAGCAAGAACTGAAAATAAATGCGTGTATATATTTTACTAGGCAAACCATGGATCATCCAGCTTGGTCTCAGAATCAGTAGCAGAGTCACCCGCATCATCCTGGGCCGGTAACAACAGCATCATACCTGATGCCTGCACCACTTCTACCACTGACCTCCTGAGACAGGGGACGATGCAAGCAGCACAACACATTAACAGCAAAAACACAATTACTAGGGTCAGAAATCCAGTAACCACCATAGAAGAGTACTCACCAAACCAGTCACTCAGCCAGGAGAACAGCCCACCACTCTCCACTCCAGCCATGCTCTCCATTTCTGCTGACAACTTCTCCAGGCCAACAAGGGCCTTTGTTATGCTCCCGTCAGGGCTTAGTGGGTTGAAGTTGAGCTGGTCCTGGAGCGGGGGTGTGGTCCAACTGGGTCTGTCTCTCCCCAGCTGCAGGTTTGGGTGTGACTGCGATGGTGAACATACCCATGGTGTCTGGTCCGGATCGTACTGCTGCTAAGGTGTACACACCTGCGTCTGTAAGTTTAATGTCTTGGATGGTTAGTAGGATTTCATCACCTTTACATGCACCCCCTTTTGACCCCTGTACACCCCTTATCATTGAAAACCTAGCTGCTTTAGAAGCATCTCCTAATGCATACGGATAGCCTCTACGCCATTCCCAGAAGGTGCCAACATTTGTGATCATATAGTCCCAATATGGACACCACTTTCCCTCACACAGATAAGTACCTCTCTTTAACACATGGGGATACATTTTGTTACAGTTTTCCTTCTGGTTCCAATTGCAACCAGTGTCCCCAATTCCACTAGCCCTATTCCTCCATGACCAGATCTTACATGGTTCTAGGGACATCACTTGAGATTCCCCTTCCTGTAAGGTAATGACTATGTTATGGTACTGATTGGGAGCTGAGAATACTGTTCCCCATAAGGCCAGCCCCACTCCTAACCACAACATCATCATCACTCCCCTTCTGTTGCCAAGTCCTGTTGTACCTGATCTAGAGTCCTTCCTGGAACTATGTCCTTGGCACAGTGTGTCCTGTGGTACCACACGTCTTTCTTGCTCGTGTTCACCCGCAACGAGTGGCTTGATACCTCTTTTACCCGGAAGGGCCCTTCCCACCTTGGCTCCGTCCACTTTCTGGAATGCACCTTCACTCTCACCCAATCTCCCACCAGGATGTCTCTGTTCTCGTCCGTGGTTTCAACAGCAGGAGTGCGCACTTCCACCACCTGTTTAGACAATCTTTCAACAAGAGAAATTAGCGCCTGCATGTAGTCTGTGTATCTGATTTTTGCAATATCTAGCCTAGGCATACTAAGATTGTCTGCTGGTGGCCCTGGCATTCTGCGTCCTGTCATAAGCTCATGGGGCGTTAAATGGGTGTCAGACCCAGGTGAGTTTCTCATTGACATTAGAGCTAGGGGCAGCGCATCTACCCACTTCAGTTTAGTTCCGGCCATGATTTTGGCCATTTTTCGTTTCAGCGATTGGTTAGCTCTCTCTACGAGTCCCTGCGATTGGGGGTGGTATACTGACCCGAACTTGTGGGTGATTCCTAGGGCCTGCTCTACCTCCCTCAGGTGTTTGTTCTTGAAATGGGTACCGTTGTCGGAACGGACCATTCGCGGGACCCCGAACCTTGGAATGAGGTCCCTCCTCAGCCATTTAATCACAGCCTTTGCGTCTTCTCTTGCTGTGGGGATGGCTTCCACCCATCTGGTGAATCTGTCAACCATTACCAACAGGTATCTTTTTCCTTCCACTCTGTTGTCCTGTCCCATGTCCGTGAAATCTATGCAAATGTCTTGAAATGGCGCTTCAGGTATTGGGAAGCTGCCTATCACTGCTCCAAGTGACACTTTGTTGTTGTATTGTTTGCACACTTCACAGCTCTCTGATGTCTCTCTTGCCATGTCCAACATGTGTGGATGCCACCATGCTTTCTCAACTGATTTTGCGACACTTTTCCATCCTCCATGAGCCTTCTCATGCTCTTCCCTTAAGATTGATCTGAGGAGTTTTGCAGGTCCCACTGTTTTTCCTGTGTGAGATCTCCAAATCCCATGATGGTCTTGCCTTGCTCCCTGTCTGCTCCATACGTTCTGTTCGTAGGCGCCTGCTGCTTCTTGCAACTGTCTTACTGTGTCTGTCGTCAACTCCTCCTGTCCTTGAGTGGCTCGTTGCACCATCTGCTGGGCAGTGTATCCTCCTGCATCCTTTGCTGCTTGATCAGCCCGATCATTTCCTTCACGCACTCTGGTGCTTTCTCTGCTGTGACCTTTGCACTTCATTATTGCCACTCGTTTGGGAAGCTGGATCGCATCAATTAACTTCTGTACTTCAACCTTGTGTTTGATGGGCTCATTTGAGCTGGTCACAAATCCTCTCCTCATCCACTGTGGTCCATCAATGTGTGCAATCCCATGTGCATAGGCAGAGTCTGTGTAGATGTCCACATTCTTTCCTTCACTTAGTTGTAGAGCTCTCCTCAATGCCCTAAGTTCAGCTAGTTGTGCTGAACTTTCATTGGGATCCAGTCTTTTTGCTTCAACAACTTCGTATTCTCCTTCCTTGTCTTGCTTTACCACAGCATAGGCAGCAATATTCCCTTCCTTTGGGTCTTTTGACCTATAGCAGCATCCATCTGTGAACAGGGTGGTCTTGTTGCCGTCCAGAGGTGAGTTCTGTAGGTCCATTCGAACCTTGATTTGTTTGGCTGCTCTGTCTTCACATACATGTGGTTCTCCCTGACCCATGCCATCAGTCATGTTGGTTGTGGTTGTCACATAGGTAATGTGTTTTGCAGTGATGGCCTTTGTTATATTGGATTTCCTTTTGCTGGACAATGTGAAAAGTTTAGAACCAATAAAAGCTGTCACTCCATGGTCTGTGTTGATTTCAAGCGGATGTCTCATTACAATGTGAGCTGTTTTGCCTACAGCTTTAGCAATGGCAGCCATGTGTCTGGCACAGTCAGTTTGTCCTGTCTCAATGTTGTCCAGTTTTGCACTGTAGTAGTGTAAGACTCTTCTCTCCCCCTTTTGTTTCTGATACAGGATGGAATGCACATAACCATCCCTTTCAGAAACATCCAAACAGAATGGCGTGGTGTAATCAGGTAAAGACAGTGCTTCAGCCTGCGCTAGCGTCTGTTTGAGTTGGATAAAAGCTGCCTCTGCCTCTGGAGTCCACTTAAGGACAGCTGTGAGATTTCTGTTTCCTGCTTCTCTCAAGATTGCTCGCAGTGGTTCCACTTTGAGACAGTATTCTGGCACGTGCGTTCTGCTGTATCCAGTAAGGCCAAGAAATGACAAAAGGTGTTGTACAGTAGTGGGTTTGGGATGTTCCAAGATTGATGTCCTCTGGGCCGTAGAGACAGCTTGTCCCTTTCCTGACAGTACTCTCCCCAGGAACTGTACACTTCTCCTACAGCACTGCAATTTCTCTTTCTTCACTTTGTACCCTTTCTTAGCAACCAAGAGGAGAAGGGACTTGGTGGCCTGCAAACAAGACTCAGCAGTTGGTGCTGCCAACAGGAGATCATCAACGTATTGAAGCAGTGTCACCCCTTCTGGTAATGTTAACTCTTCCAAGTGACTCTTCAGGATAGCGTTGAAGATTCCTGGGGAATCACGATATCCTTGTGGAAGACGAGAATAGGTGAATTGCTGTCCTCTGTAGGTGAATGCAAATAGTGGTTGAGACTCTGGGTGTAACGGAATGCAGAAAAATGCATTAGCAAGGTCCACCACTGTAAACCAGTCTTGGGTAGGTGAGATGTTTTGCAGTGCCAGATATGGGTCTGGTACAGGTCTAACGTCCGGTACAGTTACCTCGTTGATTGGTCTGAAGTCCTGCACCATCCTCCATTTTCCAGTGTCACCTTTCTTTACTGGTAAGATTGGAGTGTTCCAGTTGGAGCAGGTTGGATATATTACTTGCCCTTTTAGAAGTCCTGATATTGTAGGCTCAATTCCCCTTGTCTTTTCTTCACTGAGTGGGTATTGGCGCTTGCAAACTGGAATAGTAAGGCCACTGTCTTTTATAATTGAAACCACCACTGGTTCTACATCAACTAGTCCCACATCCTCTGCAGTTAATGTCCACATTTGTTCTGGTAACTGGTTGAAGATATTGACCGTGTCTGGATGGTCAGTCATTTCTCTTCCATGGTAATGAGATCTTCTCACCACTTCAGGTTTTCCAATGTCATCCACGTTTAGTAAGATTCTCCAAACCTGATTTCCATCCATGACTGAGCTTTGTATCTTGTAACAGGCGCTCTTGCTCCACTGCAGGCAACTTGCCTTCTTTACTGCTGGTCCCAATGATCTTGCCTCATAGCCAAACCCTACTAGGAGAGTAACATGTGGTACAGAGTCACCAGGAAGGGCGTACCATTTGTCTGTCAGTACCACATCTCCATCCATTACCATGCAACTGGTTGCCACTCCTTCTTTGAGTATGTACATGTGATTGCTTGTCACACTTGGTCGTCTGTCCTCCATTTCTTCTTCCCATGCTTCATCATATGCTTCATCCAGGTCCCTGGTGTAGTTCATTGTGACGTGTGGAGGGTCCTCAGGAGGGTAGTATGCGTTCAAAGTCTGTATCCATGCCTTCCATAGCTGGAACTCTCTGCATACTCTGGGAGCATCAGGGTCAGTCTCCATTAACTTCAGCCAATACACATATGCTTCTTCCTCCTCCTCCTCTTCTGAGTGTGTTCCCATGTACAGCATGCGTGGGGGATCAGAGTGTTCCTTCATGAGTATTGGCATGAGTTCATCAATAGGTGTGATAGAAGCATGCAGTCCCTCTTGGTTACAATAGATGCTGCATCCCAGCTTGGAGAGCAAGTCCCTTCCCATTAACCCCACCGAACACTCTGGATTGTAGAGAAACTGGTGAGTTACTTGCAGGTCATCCCATACAACTTCCAATGGAACTGTATATGGCTTTCTCATAATTGTCCCAGAAACCCCAGAGAAAGCTTGTGTCTTGGTAGTGAGTGGATATGATGCTTGTACAGAAGACCATGTACATCCTGTATCAATCAACATATTATGTTTTCCTCCTCCAATTAAACATGACACTACCGGTTCTGACCCTGGTGGAAATGAGTAGATGTTGGTGGTGAGGTTATATTGGGTTTCTGGGAAGCTTCATTGGGGGTCCTGGTTGGGGTGTTGCATTCCCATCCATGACATACTTGGTAGCAGTGCAGCATTGGGCACTGGTTGAGGCTGCCCATTGTTTTCTCCAGGGTATTGTTGAGGTGATTGAAATTGGGGGCCTCCTTGCCAGCTTCCTCGTCCCTGTCGGAACCTTGGCATTCCTCTTCTTTGCTATCCACCATACCCTCTTCCTTTTTGTTGTCTTGATAGCTGGTGTGAGTGTGGGCAAAATCTTGCCATGTGTCCTTCTTTCCCACAATTAAAACATCCTCTATCTGCGTGTCTGCGGGGTGCATAGCCAGGCTGTTGAGGTGGGTCTGGTTCTGTGTACATCCCGACAGAGAAATACCCATTTGGCCCCACAGGAGCCATCATCTGGGGTGCCATCATCCCAGCCATTGCCTGTACTACTGCAGCAGCCGCGGCTGCAGCTGGATCAATACCTGGCACACCCTGTGGATTCGGGGTACTGGTCACAACCATCTGTTTGCTTGGTTTGTCTTCAGCCAGTTGTTTTTTCAGAACTTTCTTCTGTAGCTGCTTTAGTTCATCTTCCTCCTTCCTCTTGCCTTCCCTCCATCGCTCCACATGATGTTGGGCTATTTCTGTGAACTCTGGGATGGATTTTGCTGTGAGTGCCACAACCTTTTCACACTCTACCCGGGCCTGGTCTGGGAGTCCTCCCAGGCAGTTTGCAAGGAAGAGGTGACTCATTGTATTTTTGGTGGGCTCTTCATTCCATGCTTGTCTCCAGAGGCACTTTGCCCTCTTCATGTAGGCTGGTATGGTTTCATCATCATTCAGCGTCAGTGTTCTCATGAGATCTGGCCTTGCCTGAGTGGGATACTTCCTTCTAACTGCATCCCATATGACAGTTCGGTATCGATCAAAACCAGTTGCTGCTCCTACTATTCCTCTCAGGCCTGCTTGTATGAGTATCTCTTTGCATTCATGATCTCCCATGCACCTGTTCATCACTGCCACCATATCCCCTATGGTGAGTTCATCTGCTGCAGTAAGGCTCTCAAAAGCCTTCACCCACCTGTGTCCTGATTCTTCAGGCTGGGGTAAACTGTCAACCAGAGTTTGCACATCCCTGTGTGGCCAGGGTTTGTATACTGAAGCTCCCCCTGTTGTTTCTCTCAGAGGGTACTGACCCCCACAGTTACCCCCTCTCCCTTGAGTTTTGGCCCGTGTGCGTTGTGCAGGCCCTTCCTCATCCCAAATATCTCCTTGAAAAGCTCCATAGAGCATTTTTGTCTGCTTTACGTCTTCATACTCTTCCTCTTCTTCTCCCAAATCAATACAATGGCCCCCCCTTGGCTCTGGTGTTCTTTGCAGTGATGTGAGTGCCAGCTCCTTTCTGTCTTCTCTCACCTGCTTTTCCAGTACTTTCAGTTCCTTTCTTAATTCGGCATTGTTGTCATAAATGGTTGAACTGGCTGTACTTCTACCTCCTATTTCCTCATTCTCTCTCTCACTTGCTCCGGTTCAACACAAGTCCCGGTACCCTGTACTTCTCTCTGAGTCTTCTTCCTCTTCATCCAGTCTACTCAGCTGAGAAATCTGTTCTTTCAGTTCTCGTGCGGTTTTCAACATCTGTTCGATGTCACTTCTTCGTCTATTCACCTCTTCTTCACCCACCCATGTATCCTGCAGCACGCCGTCTTTCTGCTGATACTGTACCTGCCCAGTCAGTTCCAACACTGGTGCCATTGTTTTTGGAGGGTTTTCATACGGTGGTGGGGCCAATGGCAGGGCTGGATACAACCGATTTGTTATCTTGGGTGGTGCTTTGTCTTCCCACATTTTCTTCAGTTTCTCCAACATAGCCAAACCAATCCGCTCCTTTAACCTGGCTTTCTCCATCGCGTCTTTGGACTTCCCTTTGAGGGGCTCTCCTTCCTCTTTCCACTCACTTACTGCCTTCTCTGTTCTCTTCTTCAGGGCTGTCAGTATTGTCCTCGGTTCTCCTTCCCCTGGGATTCCATTCATTGCCATTATCCATCCATCTGTTATCCATTCTTTGTATAACTTTTCTCCTCTCCTCTTCCATTCCTTCCCGTCTTTTCCCCCATTTATCTCGAGGGCGGATTTCAACACTTTAATTACTTTATCTGTCATTTTTGCCAATGTTGTTGTATCTATACTTTTGTTTTAAGAACTTTACTATTTATTCTTAATTGTAATTTAAAACCTTACTGACTCCAATATTTTGTATAAAAAGTGCTTTTAATGTTAATGGTTTAATATTTTTAGTTTAAAAACTGAAATAGGTAATAGTAATGAAATGGGTAATAGTAATACCATTAAAATGTTAGTACACACAAAACATGATACAGATATCCCCAGTCCTAACCCCCTCAATAATTGTTTGTATCAACCTAAATCACCCCCCTTCTCTCTCCTGTCTCCAGCCCCTCCCCTTGCAACTCTCTCGTCCTTCCTCTCCTGTGGAAGTAGGCTCTTTTGAGGAGTTGTGTTTTGTGTTAGTGTTTCCAATATTCTGTCGTTATTTAAAGTACTTTAATCTATTTATTTAAATCAAATGATTCCCACCTAATTAGTTAAAGTTGGTGCATGTTTATATTTAAACGATAAACCGAATTATTTCAGTCTAATTGTTTAACCAGTATTTTGCAGGGTCAAACATCAAACGTTACATCAAATAATCAACCAAAAAGCTTCAACCCAAACACCTAGAACCAGTATTATGCTATGTCAAACATCAAACACTGAATCAAATAATAAACCGAATTGTTTCAACACAACTATTCAAAACCAGTGTTATGCTAGGTCAAACATCAAACGCCACAGTTCAATCATATCAGCTCAAACGTTTCAGTTCAGTCACACAATTAATCACTTTAGCTTTATGTTCCTAATTGTTATTAACGGGTTATATGGTTTAAGCAACCACAAACCCAACAGTTATCCCCAAATTATACAGTTTGGACAGCCACAGACGTTTTAATTCCCAATTAGTTTTCTATCAAGGTATACAGGTTTGTCATTCACACTCTCATGCATACGACAACACTCGCACTGTCTAACTTTTAAAGTACCCCCTATGAGCCTTTAGTCATAGCTCGCACTGTCTAAACTATTTTAAAGTACCCCCTATGAGCCTCTAGTCATAGCTCGCACTGTCTAAACTATTTTAAAGTACCCCCTATGAACCTCTAGTCATAGCTCGCACTGTCTAAACTATTTTAAAGTACCCCCTATGAGCCTCTAGTCATAGCTCGCACTGTCTAAACTATTTTAAAGTACCTCCTATGAGCCTTCAGTCATAGCTCGCACTCCCATGGGTTTAACCATCACAATTATCAAACATTTGCATAGTATATTATGAAATCGAAGTAGTATACTGTAATTGTTATTTATAGTACAATAGGGTTCACTTACATCAATCAGGTGTTTCACAAAATTAATTTGGATAAAGCCAATATGCAGAACTTTAGTTATTTAACAATGGGTGTCTGCTTACCTGTGTTTTTAGAAGCCCGGGCACTTTGTGAAACACACAGTTCGACGACAGTGATGTCCAATAGGCTGGGTGAATTCCAGCGAAGTTCCGCTACCAGATCACAGTCGGAGGTCACCAATTGTTAGAAATTGCGTAATTCAAATCTGGTATTGGAATAAGAAAAAACATAATCAAGAGATATTCAATCCAAGCTAAATTTATTATATGCAAAATGTATGTATGATAAGTATGAAGGTTCGTATACGGGCTCACTGAAAAACCACGCAGGGCAGACAGAGAACTAAACCATTGTTTACAGGTACTTTCTCAAATACTCTGACAGAGAGTTCCCACCTCTTCTGTTGGCCAATCAGAGTAAAGGACTGAGTGTGGTTTAGACTTTACTCAGCCAATCCGTTGGCGCACGGGTTAGTCCCAACCCCTTGGCGCTCCACCCCTTGGCGCTCCACCGTTCCCAGGCATAAGTTGCTATCATAATAACCTGTAGAGTCAGCACTTTTTTTTTGCAGTACCCATGTCCTTGGAAGGTTCACAGATCACAAAGAAGCAGTGTTCGTATCTGTGAGAAATACAAGTCTTATCTATCCTTCCCCTAACGTTCCTTACATGAATCACAGCCTGTTATGTGAAACAATTTATATCAGTATAGTACAAACCTATGCTCCTCATTAATGCATTCCTTCTAAGTTATTCATCACATACAGATCCAATTATGAGAAAAATAGAACCCAACACTGTGTATGCTTATTTTGTATGATATAGTTTGATGCTCCTTCTTTTGACCTGTTGCGCATGTCTGTTTGGTTAGGAGGCTGGTCAGGCCGTGGTCCACTTGTTGGCGTTCATCGCTCTACTTTCCACACAACATGAACACAGCACCACGTCTGAAGACTCACCTGTCAGGTAAAGAACAAATGGTTCAAATCCCTAGCAAATGTACCCATTTGTATTTCATTTTGTATTCCCAAAAGTTACCATTTGAATGCTAATGCTGTCAAACCATGATGATGAACTTGATATCCTTTAGTACAGATGGGATGAGATTACAAGTCAGTGTAGAATTAGTGTAACATGAGCTTGTCTTGCGTGAAGGTTGGTGAAGAGCAGGTCTTCTCCTGGTTCTCCAGGGAGGGTGAGGTACCAGGTGATGAGCACCACCCCTAGCCCCCTGTCCCCACTCAGGGCTCATTGGCTGTCCGTCTACGAATCGCTACAGGTAGAACTGTAGAAGTAATGAAACATTCAGGAGTAGCAGCAGAGTCATAATAGAGCTATGTAGGACTCTGAGGAGTGAGTTTTATCATACTGTAGATGAGCACTACAGCAGCTTCTACCCAGAGAAACATCGACCAATCAGTCTACTTCAGGGGCGACATCTGCACCTGGAGGTGGGTCTGCTGAGGCCCCAGACCTGGACCCTGGCCTGGTTCTCCTGGTGCACTACTGTTTGGCCTACCCAGACACACAACTGGCCTGCTGGCTGCTCATCTATGATGGGTAGGTTGTTCCACTATAGTTTGTTTGTTTATATGCAACAGCACAGAGAAAGCACTGCATAGATGCATGAATCTCTATACCACGTGAATGATGTGACAGTGAAATTGCTGATTAGATTGAAATGTCCATATTCTATAGGTTTTTCCACAGCACCTGCTGCTCAGCGCCACTAAATAACTGTCCCTATAGTGAACAGGCAGTTATTTTGTCTGAAGAAAACCTAATTGTTTTGTCTTGTTTTTCAGCTGTCCCAGCCGTGGTGACTCCCAGGCCCCTCCCCCACCACCTGCCCAACCCCGTCACACCCGGAGGCTCATAATCACCACCTTCCAGTTTTTACCCACAGGAAGTCCCTCCCACCTGGAGGACCAGGAGGTCAGTCTCAGCCAATGGTGTCATATTATAGACTCAGCGTTTGATACAGTACTGTGTGGTCAGTGCATTTGAATGTGTTCTCCTGTCCTCATCAACAACAGCTCTACTTCATGTGCTCCACGGAGGTGTGCTCCCCAGCAGACGGGGACTGTATTGAGGGCTGCTTCAGTGGTGAGTTGAATTAACACTCCTACAATGGTTTGGACAAGGTGAAAGTATAAACCATCCATTTCTTGAAGTTATTATAATGTACTGTATTAATACTGTAGCGCTCAAATGTACTTGTTTCTTACAGTATTCAACGTGACACTCAAATGTATTTGCGGTCTTAGTTACATGAACTGTTATTCATTTGTAGGACCAAAGCTGGACAACTGAACAAATGAATAAATACACATTTACTCACAATTGGTCAATTATTTGTTCTTCTCCAGCACTTATTCAGTCATGTAGTAAGCACAATGACATCAGACAAGGGAAAAAAACACATTTATTTATTTAACAAAAAGCTCCACATTTGGTGCCATGTTACACAGTCAGTTGTATTAGCTTGCAACAGAATATAAGCGGTTCTTACATTGTAAAACAAGTGTTGGAAATTCAAATTATCATTAAGACCTATAAAATAAGACACTTGACCTGGTTAGTTACACCATTTTGTCATTCTGAGTAGTTTTCACACCATATGATTGGCCCACTCCTGACAAGGCCTGCATTTACAGGGCAACACTTTGGCTGGTGTACCAAGGCACTCCATATGAAGTGCTTATTCTATCACTCAACAGCCTCCATTACAACTGCTGCTTGACGGGGCATTCTGGTAGATATGATTCCCAAGAGCAATAAGGTTCTAGGTTACACATGCGCTGCAATTGGAGTGACTCAAAATTACAAGGAAATGTATCCTTTACATCCCAGTTCGCTTATAGAAATCAGTTGTTCACATGGTAGAAATGGCATCAAAGTTATAGAATAAGTGACTAGAATGAGTCAATGAAACTGAATGTTCCAGAGGCACATTTAAGGATCCCTGACGCAACGTTGCATATATCATCCAACATCAACATCCAAACATGGACTGAAGAAATCACAGATGTTTCATATCACCTTAGGGTGTACAAGTGGCGCTGCAGTTGGGGGATTAGGATTCTAAGTGTGTAGAATGATTAAAGATGTTATTAATAAACTACATTGTTAATAAATGCACTCCATTTGGCATAGAGAACCAACTACAGATTAATCCAGTTTGCAGTTGATAGTTAAATCCTCGTAGAAATTAATTTCCTAACAATCTAAGATCACGCCATTTTAAGATGCTAATTCTGCCAGCAGTACATTGATATGGATATTTTAACTTTGAAACATTGTAAAAGTGTTGCAACACAAACATGATTCTAAACTGATGTGATCACAGGGAAAGGTCAACACGTTGGACTGTACAAAAAAACATGAGCAGCTTCTGATTATAGTGGTGCCCTCATTCAATGCTCCGTCTGACAATATCTTAATAAAATAGTAGCTTTCATGTAAGCAGCATTTATGTCAGCAAGAGCAGCTATATACAGTCACTAACATTTGGTAACAGTGAATAAAAAGGTAAAACATTTGAAGATGAAGGACTACAGTGGGAAGCGGGGCAGAACAAACTGAGCTGCTACTGAGCAACAGTGTCTTGTCTACCCTGTTTATGTCATCTAAATGGATGGTGTGGTCTCATTCTGAGCCCTGCTAATGCCATGTACAGATGATCTAGAGCCCTGTCCAGCTACGCAAATGAATGAAAGCTAATTAGGAGGACATCCATTTTTATTGGGCGCCTCTCCAGAAGTATTAAGTAAAAGGAGGGAATGGGGTGATGGTCACTGAATGACAACCATCTGGTTTGGTTTCACAGCGGCGAAAAATGTGTTTCAACATGTTGGTGGTCCTGTCCCCTCAGTTCACGGACTGGCTGTAATACACAGGGGCAGACAACTGATTCATCTTGATCTGTTTCATGAGGATGCTGCAGCACACCAGGGCTGTGATCTAGGAGCAACAGGAGAAGGTGGTGACGCAGGGAGGAAAGAGTTAAGCAGAATGGGATCAGATAAAGAGAAAGCAGGGTTAGCGATCATCACCTTCAGACCAGATGCTATAACAGGGTGAGATTGAGTGCAAATTCCTAACTCCTAAATTACTGTCTCTGATACAAGCAAATGTACCAAGAGTGTGAATTGAAGATGGGAAACATTAAGTCCAGACATTTAACGGCAGAAAATGCGTAGCTTGCAGTGGGACTAGACAATGACCTTATTGAGCAGTGAGAGGAGAATGTGGATCTGTGAGCGTCCGAGGAGAGGAAAGGATCATAAATCAATGGTGTAAATAAAGTTGGAGGGGTAAGGAGTTACAGTGCATCAGCCACAGGTATGACTGGGAGCGGGGTAAAGCCCACAGGGTCCGGGTTAGGGGGGGGGAGGACAGTAGTGGAGAGGAGGATGTAGGGGGGAGGAGAAGAATGGGAGCGCTGGATCTCTTTGCTGAGGAGGGAGCTGCACACCAGGGCCAAGATCTGAAAGGAGGGGGAGAGGAAACGGAGGGATGGTATAGGATGGGAGAAACAGACAAAGGTATGGGTTAAGCAGAGGGTAGAAAAACAAGAACAGAAAGATGTAACAACAACCTGTCTGTTGCTCTCTTCTAACCAGTGCAGTTCTACCCCTGCAGCAACTTACACTCAGTGGTCAGTTTCAGGGGTGCAAATTTCACTGGGGACATTCTGAAATTGCATTTTTGTCCCCCCCAGTTTTGATACAAAAAGCGGCATCGTTGTGCTTTAGGACCATGCGGACTCCTCAGAGCGGTCGGGTGGCAGTTTGGTTTCAGCCCGCTTGATTTAAGACCGCGCGGACACCACAGAGCTTGCGATAAGAGGCAGCTGCTGTCTCTGTGTGTTGCGCTTTTTCTCAGAGTTGTAAAAACAAGCAGAGCAGAAACTGGCTACTCTTTATTTGACTGATGTAGCTGGCAAGGTAACTTAACAGACAATAAATAATGTATTGTGTCATTTTGGAGTCACTTATTGTAAATAAGAATAACGTTTCTTAATACTTCTACATTAATGTGGATGTTACCATGATTACGGATAATCCTGAATGAATTGTGAATAATGATGAGTGAGAAAGTTAGATGCACAAATATCATATCCCCAATTCATGCTAACCTCTCACCATTACAATAACAGGGGAGGTTAGGATGTTTTGGGGGGAGCGGGTATGATATTTGTGCATCTCTAACATTATTCATGATTCATTCAGGATTATCCATAATCATAGTAGCATCCACATTCATGTACAAGTGTTTAGAAACATATAAATAAGAAATAGAATAATACAAGTGACCCCAAAAAGGTCATAAGATTGTGTAGAAATGCAGGAAATGAGCTATAGATGCTTAAACAATTCTGAGGGAGGACCCCCCCAGACCCCCTGCCAGTTTGTCTACCCCACTTCTAAAACCAAAGTTGCGCCCCTGGTCAGTTTGTTAGGTACACCACTCCTTTCATGAAATGTATCTCTCCTACAGACCGTGAGTCACGTGGCTTGCTATATAAAGCAGGCAGACAGGCATCGAGGCATTCGGTTACTGTTTGATTGAACGTTAGAATGGGCCAAGTGAGTGACTTAAGCAACTTTGAGTGTGGTATGATCGTCGGTGCCAGGCGCTTCGGATCCAGTATCTCAGAAATGCCTCCTGGGCATTTCCCGCACGACAGTGTCTAGGGTTTACCGAGAATGGGGCGACAAACAAAAAACATCCAGTCAGCGGCAGTCCTGTGGGCGAAAACAGCTCGTTGAGAGAGGTCGAAGGAGAATGGCAAGAATCGTGCAAGCTAACAGGCGGGCCACAAACAGACTAATAACGGCGCAGTGCAACAGTGGTGTGCAGAATGGCATCTCGGAATACACAACTCGTCGATCCTTGTTACTGAATTACAGTTCATGTAAGGAAATCAGTCAGTTGAAATAAATTAATTAGGCCCTAATTTATGGATTTCACATGACTGAGAATACAGATATTTACATTTTAGTAATTTAGCAGACGCTCTTATCCAGAGTGACTTACAGTTAGTGAGTGCATACATTTTTCATACAGATATGCATCTGTTGGTCACAGATACCTTAAAAAAAAGGTAGGGAGTGGATTTTAAAAAAGGTGATGGGGCACTCTGTTCACAACGTTGACATCAGCAAACCGCTCGCCCACACGACGCCACACGCTGTCTGCCATCTGCCCGGTACAGTTGAAACTGGGATTCATCCGTGAAGAGCACACTTCTCCAGCGTGCCAGTGGCCATCGAAGGTGAGCATTTGTCCACTGAAGTCGGTTACGACGCCAAACAGCAGTCAGGTCAAGACCCTGGTGAGGACGACGAGCACAGATGAGCTTCCCTGAGTCTTTCTGGCAGTTGTGCAGAATTTCTTTGGTTGTGCAAACCCACAGTTTCATCAGCTGTCCGGGTGGCTGGTCTCAGATGATCCCGCAGGTGAAGAATCCGGATGTGGAGGTCCTTGGCTGGCGTGGTTACACGTGGTCTGCAGTTGTGAGGCCGGTTGGACATACTGCCAAATTCCCTAAAACAACGTTGGAGGCGGCTTATGGTAGAGAAATGAACATTCAATTCTCTGGCAACCGCTCTGGTGGAGAGTCCTGCAGTCAGCATGCCAATTGCATGCTCCCTCAACTTAAAACATCTGTGGTATTGTGTTGTGTGCACCTGTGGAATGATCATGCTGTTTAATCAGCTTCTTGATATGCCACACCTGTCAGGTGGATGGATTATCTTGGCAAAGGAGAAATGCTCACTAACAGGGATGTAAAGAAATTTGTGCACAAAATTTGAGAGAAATAAGTTTTTTGTGCATATGGAAAATTTCAGAGATATTTTATTTCAGCTCATGAAACATGGGACCAACACTACATGTTGCGTTTATATTTTTGTTCGGTATAAAAACAGGAAGAAGCGGATCCAGTGGGGACGCGATCACCAACACTGGACAATTGAGGAGTGGAAAAACATTGCCTGGTCTGACGAATCCCGGTTCCTGTTGCGCCACGCTGATGGCAAAGTCAGGATTTGGCGTAAGCAGCACGAGTCCATGGCCCCATCCTGTCTGGTGTCAACGGTGCAGGCTGGTGGTGTACTGGTGTGGGGAATGTCTTCCTAGCACACGTTAGGTCCCTTGATACCAATTGAACAATGATTGAACGTTTCCAACACCTTGTAGAATCCAGGCTGTTCTGGAAGCAAAGGGGGTCCGACCCGGTACTAGATTGGTGTGCCTAATAAACTGAGTATCTACCCTGCGTTAACAAATCTGTGCACTGAGCTGTGTGTGTGTGTGTGTGTGTAGTATTGCCCACCAGCATAGTCGCAGTCCCAAGGAAGAGGCCCATCACCAGCGGCGCTTTGGACACGAAGATGTCGACAATCACTGTGGGGCAGGCCTGCAGGGGGAGAGAGACACCAGTGTGGGATGGGTTAGAGCCTTGGGTTTTATACAGCCTAGAGATATGGAAATCTAGGACAGCCTCCTGGATGCCTCCATAGTGGATAAAACATAGGGTAACACTTCATTTGTCACAGTTCTTTTACGGGTTATTTTACAAAAATGTGTTGTGCAAATTATAGTCAATTATACAGTCAATATGAAAAAGGTACTGGATCCTATCTTGAGATGCTCCTGTAACTTGATTTCATTGCAAATATACCATTGACATAAATACAGAATTTATACAGATTTAAGTTGCACATATTTCTCAAATTAGGATTTGGCCCCATAATGAACACCGACTCACCGGGAGAGTGAAGGTCTCAATAAATCCGGTTTTTGGACATGTTTCTTTCACCAAGAAGTCCAAGGCACCAATGAGTCCACAGCAGTGCAACTAGAAGAGGGAGAGAGAGGGTGAAGGCAAGTGAAATGTAACATTTGATGTAATGGTTTTGATAGTTTTCTCATGGTTTTGGAACTGTTATGGATTGAATTAGTTATGATGGACTGAAATGTGCCAAACTAAAGCGATGATGCTATTAAAAGTTTTGGGATATGTTTTGTATTTACCCCATTGTGGAAGATGGACAGGGTAACCGCCATACCAGGGTCTCCTTTGGCCACATACTGTGCATACACTGTAGCATAGAATTCCGCCAGCTGCTTCCCAACCTGCACAGCACAAAGACAAGACCACACATAAGCAGGAGTTACGTCCGATGTCCACCAGATGCATGCATATGCGTTTTGTTTTGCCAGATGTCTAGCTCGCACTTTCCCCACTTGACGAACATGTGCTTCGCTTTTCAACTAGCTAAAAGCTAGCTAGTTTGGAGTCAGTGTGTGTACTTCCGTTTGTACCACCGCACGGTAAAGCAACGCACAAGTTGAAAATATTGATGGCATGCGGTACACAGAACGCACCCCAGCCTACGCCATCCCCAATGTAGTGTTGCGGACTGCTCCATTGACAATGAATGACTTCCGCTGGAATGCAAAGAATTTGATGCATCTGGTGGACAGGTGTTACACTGTTGGTTACAACCATTTAATCAACTAACAAAGGTTTTTGTGATCTGCATGAAAGGGAAGCCTTGACGTTGTTTATTATTCAACATTTTGTCTTGCTCCCTCTTTCTGTTCTTCCTTTCTCACCTCATCACTTCTCACGTAGGCGATCACTCCGACTCCGATCTGTACTCCAGCCAGGATACCCAGCAGGCAGGAGAACTGGGAGGGGCAGGTAAACAAATCAGAAATACAACAACACAGCACACATACTTACTGAATAAACACACATAAAACCACAGCTGTCCTTCAAATTGACTTATTATTTGTGAAGTGTGTGTGACATGTTAAATGTATGCACAATGAACAAAGTTGAAAGTGGCAACTGTATGAGAAAAGCCCATGACTTTTCTGAGAAACTGTGTGAAGGTTTGGAACTACAGTAAGTGCTTCTAAAGTAAATCTGACACGCTTACAGTGACACATCCCATATTATAAACCGGGTGGTTCGCGCTCTGAATGGTGATTGGCTGAAAACGGTGGTATATCAGGCCGTATAGCATGGGAAAGAAAGAAAGACCTTTTACTATTCTAATTACATTGGTAACCAGTTTATAATAGCAATAAGGCACCTCGGGGGTTTGTGGTATATGACCATTTGCTTCAGCACTCGGCGGTCCCGTTCTGTGAGTTTGTGTGGCCTATCACTTCGCGGCTGAGCTGTTGTTGCTCCTAGACGTTTCCACTTCACGATAACAGCACTTACAGTTGACCGGGGCAGCTCTAGCAGGGCAGAAATTTGATGAACTGACTTGTTGGAAAGGTGGCATCCTATGACGGTGCCACGTTGAAAGTCACTGAGCTCTTCAATAAGGCCATTCTACTGCCAATGTTTGTCTATGGAGATTGCATGGCTCTGTGCTCATTTTATACACCTGTCAGCAACGGGTGTGGCTGAAATAGCTGAATCCACTAATTTGAAGGGGTGTTCACATACTTTTGTATATATAGTGTACCATGGCTAAGGGTGTATCCAGGCAATCCGTGTTGCGTTATGCATAAGAACAGCCCTTAGCCGTGGCATATTGGCCATATACCACACCTCCTCGGGCATTATTCCTTAAATAAACCACACGGAGAGAAAGCAACCGCTGCCTCAAAATGGCAACAGGAATCTCTGGGCAAGAGAGAACTCACTGACTTCAGCTCATCATAGCTGTTTTGCATAAGTCAATTAGTAAACACATTACTTTGTCAATCTGTGATATGTAGCAGTCATAATTGCATCATCTGTTTCTCTCTGACATATAGGACTGTAGTGTGTTTCGTAGAGGAATAGCTAATAATAATAGTTTAGGTTGTTATTTCATGCTGTGAAAGTGCTTTCCAAATCTAGGAACTTTGTTAGACCCTTTGACCTCCTCCTTGAACTCACTCTATCCCTAAGAACTGGAAACTATGAACCTGTCGTTATACCGATTATACCCTTGGAATGGTGGTGAAACAGGTCACCCGCTGAGCTGGTCATTCACAAAAATGTATGCCAACGTGTGTAGTGTCATGTCCTACAGCAAAGCTTGTATACAGGAAGCAAGTATTTCCTATCTCGAGCCATTGTGTTAAATGGGAGTTTAAAAGTCTCTGGCCTTCTCAGACAAACAGGCGAGACTCCCAGTGCTCCTCTATGGTTGTAAACTGCACCATGGCTCTTGAGGTAGCAGCTCAGTTGAGTGATTGATGACAAGTGCTTGCTAGGCCCTTGAGAGAGAGAGGTCAGAGTTGCGGCAAGGAGAACCAGAGAACTCTATGGCGGGAAAACGCAGCAGGATCACCCAACATTCCAAACGCTCCATGTCACAGCTTAGATTTTGGCGGTTCTTTGTGGTTAAGGGCTTTGGGTGAAATATTGGGCTGAACAAGTTTCAATACTTTCTAGTGAGGAACTCTTATTAGGAAGTTAAACTAATATGTATGTTCTTAGACACTAATGTTCCCTGTGGTAGAAGGGAATCTGCATGGTTCGTCACTAGAAAGGGGTGGATATCCATACCTGCTTTCTGAAAGCATGTCTGGTCTCTGTCTTGCTCTCATGTTTCAGTATTTTGATCTCCCTTGACTTGTTTGCGGACAATTGAATTAGCTAAGGCTACCTACCACTGCCCACTCAAGCCTCTAAATCAGGGCTGTCAAATACTTTGTGCTCCCACTTCAGTGTAGTGTAACTAATGGAAAATGGATGCCGTTTTTCTTTTCTTTGTAGCTTACCACTCCCAAAGCAGTCCTATTCTCATTACACGCTCCATAGTCTCCGAAAGCAGCTACGAGCAATATCACTGCTCCTAACGCAATCAACACGGACACACCTAAAGTATGAGAGATAGAGATACCCATTTGTCAATGTTAGCTGTTCAGTACTAATGGTGATTATAATTATTTTTCAGTAACACTTTAAAAGGTATACTTTATAAATGGTTTTCAAATGTTTCTAAGTCATTAATAAAGAAATTATGAGTTTATAAACCTGTAATAAAATATATACTAAACAACTGACCTAAAGTTGTATAGTCTGTCTATCCATGGCTTACAGCTGCAAAAGGTTTTACAGGCTGAAATTAGTAGAGCAGAGTTGTGTGAGCTCACCGATGACAAACTGTTGCGTGTTGAGGTCTATGTTGAAAAATCCTCTGGTCTCAGAGCTGAACCTCAGCCACAAGCCCAACCCCAACATCGCCAAACCCACCAGCTGTCAGAAGAAACCACAAAAACTGTGCATGAAACAGGTTGTGAAAGCATACCTAAAGATCAGTCTCACACAAGATGTTACAAATATAGTGTAGAAGATGTACTAGTATTAAAAGGATACTTCTGGATTTTGGCAATGAAGCCCTTTATCTAATTCCCCAGAGTCAGATGAACTCATGGATACCATTTTTATGTCTCTGCATCCAGTATGAACAGTGCTTGACTTGGACTGAAATAGGTGCCGGCACTCAATATGGGTGCCGGGACTGTTTTATATTTAGGTGCAGGAGCTCCACAATACTTTTGAGCTAATATTCTATAAGAGGAATGGGAGCTCAAGCAGCACAAAAATTGAGGTGGTGGTACTCAGCTCCGGTGAGTTTATGCCCAAGTCAAGCACTGAGTATGAAAGAAGTTAAAAGTAGTTTTGCGAACCAATGCTAACTAGCGTTAGCGCAATGGCTGGAAGTCTATGGTATCTACTAGCATGCTAGCAGTTACATTGACTTCCAGTCATTGTGCTAATGCTAGTTAGCAATTGTGCTACGCTAGTTAGCAACTTCTTTCAAACTGCAAGCAGAGACATAAAAATGGTATCCATGAGTTCATCCGACTCTGGGGAAGTAGATAAAGGGCTTCATTGCCAAAATCCCAAAGTATCCCTTTCAATGTAACTATGAAATCTACAATGTTCAATGAATCGGATGAAAACCTAAACTTTTTTTGTTTGTTTTTTTACATGTATGGAAAGCAGTAACTCCCCTCATTGAGCTGTGAACATTTCATTTCATGACATGACTCTAGGACCAAGAAATGTATTCAAAATAGCATCTGAAGTTTCATAATTGTATGTTTATTAATGGGAAAATATGGCTGTTTTTTCCATTTCCTGAAAAGTTTATGTTTTGGAGATGAGGTTTTCATCCGACAACGATGATTGGTAAAATGATGAGAGTAATGTCATCATGTAATGTCAGGTGCAGCACTGTTTTGCAAAAAAGGACTATGAATAAATATAGTCTAGTTTGGGAAAGCTAGATAAACAACAAGAAAGAATGTTCCACAAGAGACATTTCTTTCAAAGCACAGAATAAATACTGAACAGAATAGCTTCCTCAACCAGGGGCCAGGACTAAACTAGTTCAACGAATTAAACAGCACGCCTGTGTGATTCTACTCTGCTATTTAAGTTTGGTTTGGTTTCTTACTTTTGATTAATTCATATAGAATTCCCCTGCTTGAAATATCGGTTAGCTGGTAAAGTGAACTAACCACATCCCAATGATACACTAAGTCTGTGGTTTTGCATCACCTGGATGAACGCCAACATTTTGAAACTTAACATGGGAAACGAAACTTCTCGTTCATTTCCATTAATGAAGGAGAAGTTCATTAATGGAATATACGTGTGTGTGTGTGTACACTACATACACATCACACACACATACATGCACATTACACACACATACTTTTACACATCATTTGCTGCTGCTAATTTATTTTACTCTTATTATTATCTATCCTGATGCCTAGTCATTTTACCCTGCCTTCATGTACATATCTACCTCAAATACCTCGTACCTCTGCACATTGATCTGGTCCTGGTACTCCCTGGCTGTAGCGCCATTCTCCTGTATTTTATTGTATTCCTTGTTACTATTTTATTTATATTCTTTTAAAACTCTGCATAATTGGGAAGGGCTCATAAGCAAGCATTTCACTGTAAAGTTTACACCGGTTATATTCGGCGCATGTGACAAATCGAATTTTATTTGATGTGGACAACTGTGAGCAATAGACATGAGCTGGTACTTTGATGGGAAAGGGGTTTAATCAGTCATACAGACAATAAATGCAGCCTTTTAATAACAGCAATGGAAATGTATTTCCCATTCAGAGATGGTAGCAAGGGTCTGGACAAAAATTAAATAAGAGATTTTGCTATTTGACTTTAAGCAAAGCTTATTTCCAAATCAGCAAATGGCAAATGCTGCCTAGGTTGATCAAAGATAAATAGACAATGCCCTTAGAACTATTCACCTACTACAATGAATTTACATTTTACACCAGCCCCCTTCTCTTTCTCATGCACACCAGATACCAATTTGTTACCACTAGGTCTACAGAGTTACATTGAGATTATGGGTACTTACGGCAAAAATGATGTTGAAAAGGATCAGGATACACTTACACAGCTGCCCACATCCGTCTAGTGCCATGATCAACGGTTCGCTAACACGCTCCAATCAGGAAGTCTGAAATACAGTCTAGTGCCCTGGGAAAATAATTGAAGATGTTCAAACATCTAAATGTTTACAATAGGTGTGAAAAAAGAGCAGTGATGGGTAATAGACTGTGTCGAGTGTTGGTGGAAGTATTTAGTTAACTATACAGTATCATAGCCAGGGTTGAATCATTGCATAATTAGAAACATTTTGTAACAGTTTGTGTTTGATCTTCTACATCGAGCTACAGTGAGGGAAATGTAACGCAAGCCTGAAGAAATAAACCTACCTGGATTCGTTGCGTGCAGATCAGTCTCTTCACACCTCGGAATGCAACTGCGACACCAACCGTTTCAGGCAATGTGTGTGAAGAAGGCAATTTATTGTGAGATTTCGTCTGGATTAAATCCAACCCCCCAGTCCGATTGAATCATTTGATTGGATTAGGTTGTTGAGTGACGGGGTGCAGTACACTTCAGAAGACGAGAAGACCGAGGATTTCAGGGTGGCAATGATGGAGAAATGAAACTTATCTTTGGCCAGTTCTGGGAAAACACTTTCATTATGCAAGTAATAATGAGCTTATAATAATGAGTGAACAAGGAGTAAGCAGATAAGTGTACTGCACAGTTATAGCCACACACAGTATATCATATAGGCATTTCATGATCAAATCAAATCATCAAATGTATTTATAAAGCCCTTTTTATGTCAGCAGATCTCACAAAGTACGTATACAGAAACCCAGCCTAAAACCCCAAACAGCAAGCAATGCAGATGTAGAAGCACGGAACCTAGGAAGAAACCTAGAGGAACCAGGCTCTGAGGGGCGGCCAGTCCTCTTCTGGCTGTGCCGGGTGGAGATTATAAGAGTACATGGCCATTAAGGTCAGGTCGTTCTTCAAGATGTTAAAACGTTCATAGATGACCAACAGGGTCAAATAATAATCACAGTGGTTGTAGAGGGTGTAACAGGCCAGCACCTCAGGAGTAAATGTCAGTTGGCTTTTCATAGCTGAGCATTCAGAGGTTGAGACAGCAGGTGCAGTAGAGCGAGAGGGAGGGAGGGAGAGCGAGCAGGTCGAAAACAGAAGGTCAGGGACAAGGTAGCATGTCCGGTGAACAGGTTAGGGTTCCATAGCTGCAGGCAGAACAGCAGAAACTGGATCAGCAGCACAACCAGGTGGACTGGGGACAGCCAGGAGTCATCAGGCCAAGTAGTACTGAGGCATGGTCCTAGGGCTCAGGTCCTCCGAGAGGGAGAGAGATGGGAGAATTAGAGGGAGCATAATTAACTTCACACAGGACACCAGATAAGACAGGAGAATTTCACCAGATAGGACAGACTGATGTAGATCAGGGATGGTCAACTTTGATGAATAATGTTTACATACTGTTTCACCCACTTTATATGTACAGTATATACTGTATTCTAGTCATGGCTCATCCTAGATAACTACTGCTGTACACACCTTTTCTATTCATTTACTGTCCATACTGTCTTTACACACCCTTATTTATATATATACAGTACCAGTCAAAGGTTTGGACACCTACTCATTCCAGGGTTTTTCTTTATTTTTACTATTTTCTACATTGTAGAATAATAGTGAAGACATCAAAACTATGAAATAACACATATGGAATCATGTAGTAACCAAAAGAGTGTTAAACTAATCAAAATATATTTTATATTTGAGATTCTTCAAATAGCCACCCTTTGCCTTGATGACAGCTTTGCACACTCTTGGCATTCTCTTTTTTGGTTACTACATGATTCCATATGTGTTATTTCATAGTTTTGATGTCTTCACTATTATTCTACAATGTAAAATATTGTATAAATAAAGAAAAACCCTTGAATAAGTAGGTGTGTCTAAACAGTATGGAAAATGTATGCACTCACTAACTGTAAATTGCTCTGGATAAAAGCGTCTGCTAAATGACTAAAATGTAAATGTAAGTCACACACACATCTCTACATCAACTGTTCAGAGGGAACTGTGTGAATCAGGCCTTCATGGTCGAATTGCTGCAAAGAAACCACTACTAAAGGACATCAATAATAAGAAAAGACCTGCTTGGGCCAAGAAGCACGAGCAATGGACATTAGACCGGTGGAAATGTGTCCTTTGGTCTGGAGTCCAAATTTGAGATTTTTGGTTCCAACCGCCGTGGCTTTGTGAGACGCGGTGTGGGTGAACGGATGATCTCCACATGTGTATTTCCCACTGTAAAGCATGGAGGAGGAGGTGTTATGGTGTGGGGGTGCTTTGCTGGTGACACTGTCTGTGATTTATTTAGAATGTAAGGCACACTTAACCAGCATGGCTACCACAGCATTCTGCAGCAATACGCCATCCCATCTGGTTTGGGCTTAGTGGGATTATCATTTGTTTTTCAACAGGACAATGACCCAACACACCTCCAGGCTGTGTAAGGGCTATTTTACCAAGAAGGAGAGTAAGGGATGTAGCTCAGTTGGTAGAGCATGGCGTTTGCAATGCCAGGGTTGTGGGTTCGATTCCCACAGGGGGCCAGTATGAAAAAAAAAAAAAAAATGTATGCACTCACTAACTGTAAGTCGCTCTGGATAAGAGTGTCTGCTAAATGACTAAAATGTAAATGTAAAATGTAATGGAGTGCTGCATCAGATGACCTGGCCTCCACAATCCCCCGACCTCAACCCAATTGAGATGGTTTGGGATGAGTCGGACAGCAGAGTGAAGGAAAAGCAGCCAACAAGTGCTCAGCATATGTGGGAACTCCTTCAAGACTGTTGGAAAAGCATTCCAGATGAAGCTGGTTGAGAGTGTGCAAAGCTGTCATCAAGGCAAAGGGTGGCTATTTGAAGAATCTCAAATTTAACATATATTTTGATTTGTTTAACACTTTTTCGGTTACTACATGATTCCATATGTGTTATTTCATAGTTTTGATGTCTTCACTATTATTCTACAATGTAAAACATTTTAAAAACAAAGAAAAACCGTTGAATGAGTAGGTGTGTCCAAACTTTTGACTGGTACTATATAGTGCCTTGAAAAAGTATTAATCCACTCAAAATACTTTGGAATGTCAAAGTGGAAGAAAAATTAAAAATACAAATTCAGATTAATACAAATTAAATAACTAAAATATAGTCGTTGCATAAGTATTCAGCCCCTTAATATATTCCGGACTCTGACATTGCTCGTTCTGATATTTCTTAATTTCTTTATTTTTACTTTTGGATTATGTGCATATTGTTTTGTATTGCTAGTTATTATTACTGCACTGATGGAGCTAGAAACACAAGCATTTCGCTGCACCTGTGATAACATCTGCAAATCTGTGTACGCGACCAATAGACTTTGATTTGGTTTTGATTTGATTGGAGCCACAAAAAATCTGAAATCATCATCAGGGGCCGCAGTGGCTCGCGGGTCTGCGTACCCACATCCAGCTAATTTCCTGCAATTCTACACATTCTGCCATAGGGTGGAGAGAAATGTTTGCAGTTTTTAATGACATCTGAGTGAGAGTGACTAACAAAATCAATGGGGACCCCATGTTTACTTACCAAAATAATCAATGTTAGCTGACATGGGCTAATTGAGTGACTGCCAGTGACTGCCAGAAAAACTGCTGATGCACAACCAAATTTCAAAATTGCACCTTGTATATTGTACTATTCTAACTCTCAATAATAAATTGAGACCCTGACTGGGTTGTGACTAGATTGAGTACAGCTACAACCGGAAGTTACTTTTTGTAGCATGTTAGGAGAGCATTTTAGCTAACCCTAACCCTTTTCCTAACCTTAACCTAGTTCTCCTAACCTGCTACGAAAAAGTCACTTCGGTCGTAGCTGTATTCCACCTAGTCAACCCCCCCCCCCCCCCCCCCCCCCCCCCCCCCGACTGAGTTCCCCCACAAAATTAAACCCAAACACAACAATTTGGTTTGGTCGGGGGCCCCTAGCGGCCGGGGGCCCTAATTGCACACTTATGTCTCGGGCCGCTTATGCCTGGGACTGGCTCTGGCTCCACCAATGGTACAGGAATTTATTTCTGAGGTCAGACCTACCCTGAGCACAGCCATCACACACCACAGGAGGTTGGTGGTGGTTGGTGGGACCTTAATTGGGGAGTCGTGCTCGTGGTAATGGCTGGAGTGCCATTCCATTCGCTCCGTTCCAGATATTATTATGAGCTGTCCTCCCTTCAGCAGCCTCCACTGACACACACACACAGGTGTACATTGAACATGAACAGCTAGCATATTGCAACTAGCATATTGCATTTGATCGGTGTATCATGGGGACACAAAAGGCTTTTGCTTCACCTTTGGTGTGTTAACTGTTATGTGGACAATCTCTTCCACGGGAACCAGATCCAACTGGTTTGGCTCTGTTCCATGATCAATGGAAGTTCATAGCAGGTTCAGTGGCTGCTGAAGAGAGGGCTGTGATAGCACTGACGGATACCCATCTCAAAGTGGCTGCAATCATCTTTTCTGAAGTAGTGATGCTGAAGGGATTGTGGAGGAGCAATGACAAAGGTGAAGTAGAGATAGAATTGAATTGGTTGTTGCTTGTTCACCTCACACCTTGTAAGTTAAATTCATCTTTGAAGTTTTTTTTGCTGTGATGTTCTTGCTTTCAATAAAAATGTGAGTGTTATCACAGACACAGCAGTTGATATAGCTTTTTTGGTGACCCTTAGAAATCACCACTAAAATAATATAACTTGGTGGATTGGCCACTGTGGGTGAAAATCCAGCACTTGCAGAAAGAAGAAATTAGGAATATACTTTATGTATAATTATTGAATTACATGTAACGTACATGTGAACGAAAATAGCTATAAGTAGCAGTAGAAGTATTGCTGTCTGTTAGTTTATTCCAATCAGGTTAGGGATGATAGGGTATCATAATTACTTGTTATTGAAATTGTATGCACTATATGGATTGCTGAAACTGCTGCTGAAAGTATTGGCCTGTTATAGCACAT